CAATGCTAAAATATGCGCATATGTAAAAATTCACACGTAGCATTGTACTTTAAATACACACCAAAATGTTTTAATAATCTAAATTAAAAACTGATGAAATTTAAGGTTTGCTATATTATGTAAAATTACGTGTCTATGTGTGTTTATAACAAATGTTATTGTTGTGTACCTAATATTGTGTAAATATGTATGTTGGATGGAATTCACATTAAGTATGCAATACTACCGCTGCAAGCCTTTTAATGTATGCGTCTTTTTCATCAAAACTATCGAAAATCTCCAAAATATTGATTAAAATTAAGTAGTTAAATGTTTTTAAAAATAAAATTAAAAAAAATGTTTTTCAAACTAAAATAAATGAAATTTTCTTTTATCATGAAAGTCAAAAATGTTGTCTCTAGCGAAATAGATTTGCACTTCAAAGAAAAAACATATAGAGCATACTCATCATAATTCGTGTTGTATTTTGCCTGATTTGAACAGGATACATACATTTATGAATGGAAGGATTCAGGCAGCGTTTATTACTGGTTATATTATGCTGTTAACCTCTGTTGGCAGATACTTTATCCGTGAATCTTGAATCATGCTTGTGCTACTGAGCTGAGAGTTAGTGGCATACAGCCTAGACAAATGTGCTTGTATATGAAATATATACATGTACCAGTGAAAATAGCACTGACATGCTGCACAAGCTTGTAACCTGAGATAGGAACAGTTACATTGTATAATATGACCTAACCTTTGTAACTTTATCCTGTATTTAAGGCAGTTTGATGAAAATTAAATATTTGACCATTGCTTATCACTATGGCAACCAACAGTTGATGGAAATTAAATAAATATGTTTTCGTCTGATTGTCTTTGAGCAAAGGTTCATTTTAAGGTCATGTGTCTGCATGCATAATAGGTGCTACTTGCGTGGTTGATGTTTTTATAGTTTAATAGCCAGGCACTGAAGAGTAAAAATCTTTCTATTGGTTCATTTGCTAATGTTTTTATGAAAAACCTTTATTTTGACAAATGAGTTTTGTATGGGATCTCAAATATTTTTCTTTTCATCAGGAGACAAGTTATTCTCTTTTTTTTCCCATATTTAAAATATTTTCTTATATAATGTACCCAAATTGACAGTATTAGCTACTATACTAGACTAAAAGCAAATACATGCAACTTTGTTCTTTCATCTTTCTTTTATTGTCAAAAACAACAGCCTTTTATAATCTACCTGGCGTTTACCCCAGGAAGATTAACAAACACTTTTTAGTATTAGATGTGTTCACATCAATAAGTATAAGCAAGTAATCCGTGTCCTCAATCTAAAAGAAATTTGTTGTGCATGTTTTTTGTCATAAAATAGTTTTCCAATAATATTTATCATATACTCTGTTATGCCCGGCCTTGTAAAGCTATGGGAATTGCGCCCTCGCATCGGGGCAATAATTTCCTGTATCACGCCTGGCTTTCGTCAATCAAAACAAAACACGTCATTTTAAATTACATTGTGTGTTTCAGGTCACTCCGTGGTAAAATAATTAAGCCTTATAACGCATATGATAAAACCTTTATGGACTGAATACAGCTTTTGCAGCCCGAAGTAGTGCGGCAGAAGTACCTGAGCTTAACATAGTTTTGTCAAGCAAAAATGATTTATCCCAAATCGGGCAATAAGTCACTGATATATATAATCTTCTTTGCATCTCCCAGACAAGATAACTTTTTAAACATTACATCTGCACCAGGGATTGAGTTAGTATTTTGTGTAGCAAGTCCCGATGAGAAAATGAGCTGGAACTTGCAATATGCTCTGTGTACACATGGAACCCTTTTTTGTGCTTAAGCATTGATGGGGGTGGGGGTAGGGGGTCCTTCTCAAATATTGGTGGTCCGAAAGCAGAAGATGGGGGTTAACATAATACCTAATCTGCACACTGTAGTGTTTTATCTATATTGTTGCACAATTACACTATGCAATACTTGTTGGCTTGGCAGCACTATGAATTAAGTTTCTACCCTTATCTGAATAGGCATTTCCAAAACATCACATCAACTGTTATTTCTCTAAAGTTATTTTGTTAGCTATACTTAGGCATTTATTTTTATCTCCCCCCCCCCTAGTGCTTTGTAAATGATGTGCGGATTACTGTTATTACATTCTCAATAATGTATGTATTAATTTTCAGTGTAAATAAAAACACTGTATTTGCTCTGTTAGAAGCACTAATTGACTTAAATTGACTTAAATGTTGGATCATACAAATTTGGACAATATCTCATCTCTAGCTATGTAAGCACAATGCAACAAATGCTGTATGTTATGCTTATAATTATGAACATTGCTAATTATCTAGCCCATACTGAAGTTGTGAATATTATTATGAATTATTAGTTTACACAGTTGTAATAAAGCTAAGAGATTTCTACTGCATGTGTATATTCTAAATATTTGTCTGTCTTATTCTACAGGATTGAAAGCCTGGGATGTTGATGCAGAGGAATGCAAACTAGATGAAGAGCTGAAGACACTTGGTCAAGCTGATGTGACTGCTGGGAGTTCTGGTGAGTAATTCAATTTGCAAATTTGTGTTATACCGCCCTCTGTAGTCTGGTGAGTGTGCTAGTCTATATATGTCAACCCTGCAGCTCACCTATAGGTTCTTTGAACACCACTCTACAAAAATGCGATTTTTTGAACAGCACCAAAATCTACCACAATTTATGGGGAGTTAGGCCCAGCTACATTCAGCCTGGGTACCAGACTATAATTACTCTGGTCATCCACTGTCCACAGTCAGGATTTTTGCTATATCTCTTATCTGGCCAAGTCAATGGGGCTGGCAGGATAACATATATACCTTGATACTGATAGCACACTGCTGATTCAAATACCGTATTTGCTCTATTAAAAATGCATATGCTTATACAGATTACAGAGGGAAAGTAAGTCAAATTTAAATTTTTAGTTTATATGCGTTCCTATTGCATTTATAATAGAGCAAATACAGTTTGCCACAGAACCCGAAATTGTAATAAATTTACATGGTTAATAGTTAAAGTTTTGGCAGATTTGTTCATACTATTGTGGGAAGTGGGTAACGATTGTCCAGCTAAGCTACATCATGCAATTGTCATAGTAGAATATATTTATTTGCAATTTTCACAAATCATGAAATTAATAACACATAAATAGTCATAGTTTGATGATTGGGTACTCATTAATTACTATTGTTAGGAGCTGCACTTACCCAATCAGTGCAATAAAGCTGGAATTCATTCTTGAGAAGCTTCATTCTTAGTTTTGATGTTAATTGGTGATATTCTGTTCACTGCAAGATCTTGATAAATAATTTGTGAAAAGCATGGGCCGAACAAATCTGCAAAAATCTAATGATTTGATTTTGAACTTTAATTTCTTTCTTGTAGTTCAATGTCAAAATGCTGAGCTTCCGGGAAAATACATTCACATTAGTTGAATCCCATGCAATGTTTTGTAGTTACTACAACGCTATCACCTTTGTTTGTCATGTTTATATTTTATTGCATGCATAAAACAGGATCTCGCAGTTAACGAAAAATAGTCTATTTGTCAGAATATCTTGAAAATTGTGCAAGATCACTAATAAAATAAAATATTCACAAAATTTGATGATTCAGTAATAGGATAAATTTGAATATCCAAAAATATGCTGAAAAAGATCTGCTCTGGTCCTTCAACACCAAATGTGTGCAAACATTGTATCATATTATTTCCTGCATCTTACATATAGCATCTTAATTTCATCTTTACAGGTCAGAAAAGCTTTTTCCATTGTGGAGATAAATTTGGTGCTGTAGTTCTGATCAATCCCACTGTATCTGCTGTGAAAACTGAAATCGGCAGCCTACTTAGTCACTCAGCACAATACAAACATTTACTATTTGGTGGGCATAGTCTGGAAGGTGGCGGCGATTGGGTCTACCAAGATGACAGCTTTTCCTTACATGATTGTGGGGATATATTCAAATCTCTACCAACTGGTGCGAAGACGAAACTATCTTTGAGTGGATGTCATTGGAGCATTGTTAGCATGGATAAATTAGGTTTTCTTAAGAAGTATGATCTGTCTGTAAATCCACAGGATGTTAAGAATAACTTAGAAGGAGTTGATGATCTTGTTAATGTCCTTGCTGACCTTGTAGTGGTAGAGTCTCCCTTTGATCTTCTGGAACCGCCAACTATTGGTGTGGGTGTGAAATGTAAAATTACCAAGCCCACCGTGTTGTTGTTTCCAGCAGGTAAAGGTGATTGTGCTTTTTTTGCTGTAAATGATTTCAGCATGTTTGTAGGAGGGGGATACACTCACAAGTCATGTTTCTGGAAATTTGCTAAGCATCTGCACAGAGTTGATGCTATATTACTCTCGAGCTTGCACCCTGAATCACTACTTGGAATAAATAGTTTGCTCCGGCGTAAATTAGCGGAAAGGGCACTAGAGGAACCAGAAAAGGGTTCAGAAGAGTATGAGGATTGGCAACAGAAGGTCAACTCTCCCGAAGTTGGAGTAGTGTATTTGAATGCTCCTGAAAGTACAAAATGTAGTGACAGTCTAATTATGAAGCTGTCTTCTTTAGGCTCTCAGACGATGAAGCTATTTAAAGAATTGGATATCACTCCAAATCAGTGTTACCAGGCCAATCCTCGTGCAATGGACCCCATAACATTATACCAAAAAGTTGGTATTGGTAAACTTGATATGTATGTACTCAGTCCTTTCAAAGACAGTAAAGAATTGAAAGATTATATGTCTCAATTTCAGAGTGGGAAGAAATTTTCCACTGGGAAAACAGGAGTTAAATCAAATGGCAAAGAATTTGAGCTAGCTTTACCTAATATTGCGTCTGTCTGTGCCCTAATTGTATGGCAACCGTATAATCCAACTGAACCAACTGTTCGAGTATTGTTTCCTGGAAATGCCCCACAGTCTAAGCTCTTTGATGGGCTTGATAAATGTAAAAACTTAGCATTTCTTCAAAAATTCGAAACTGCACAAAAGCCCAAAGTTAAAAAAATGCCTAAAGCCAACACTAATGGACCAACTGATCCCAAGTTGCATAAATTGAAAAAAGAAACTGATTCATCTCAGATAAATTCGGCAGCTTCAAGTGAGCAGGCAGCCTGCACTGATGGTGTTCACTGTAACACCCCACCACCAGAGCTGGCTGATGGGCCATGTACAGATGGAATTCACTGCAACACCCCTCCACCTGAGCTGGCTGATGGACCATGTACAGATGGAATTCACTGCAACACCCCTCCACCTGAGCTAGCTGATGGACCATGTACAGATGGAATTCACTGCAACACTCCTCCACCTGAGCTGGCTGATGGACCATGTACAGATGGAATTCACTGCAACACTCCTCCACCTGAGCTGGCTGATGGACCATGTACAGATGGAATTCACTGCAACACTCCTCCACCTGAGCTGGCTGATGGACCATGTACAGATGGAATTCACTGCAACACTCCTCCACCTGAGCTGGCAGATGGACCATGTACAGATGGAATTCACTGCAACACTCCTCCACCTGAGCTATTTGACAGCTCCTGTACAGATGGAATTCATTGCAACACCCCTCCACCTGAGCTGGCAGATGGACCATGTACAGATGGAATTCACTGTAACACCCCTCCACCTGAGCTATTTGATGGCCCCTGTACAGATGGAATTCATTGCAACACCCCTCCACCTGAGCTGTGTGACAGACCCTGTACAGATGGAATTCACTGTAACACCCCTCCACCTGAGCTATTTGACGGCCCCTGTACAGATGGAATTCACTGCAACACCCCTCCACCTGAGCTATTTGACGGCCCCTGTACAGATGGAATTCACTGTAACACCCCTCCACCTGAGCTGTTTGACGGTCCCTGTACAGATGGAATTCACTGCAACACCCCACCACAAGAAGAATCTGATGATGAATGTGGCGATGGCATTCATTGTGACACCCCTCCCCCAGAAGGCGAGTTTGGAGAGGGTGAAGCTGTAGGAAATGAAGATGATCCTCCACCAGCAGACATTTCACATGAGTATCAGTTCAAAGATTCTTTCCCCTCTGGTGATATATCCTTGGTTGATAAAGGAGGTGCTTCCCCGGTAGCTGAATTTGATCCTTTTGGCCCCCCAAGTGATGAACAATGTAGCACTAAAGAAGAGATGCTTCAGCCTGATCATGTGGAACAACAACATGCTGTTCTGCCAGAAACTGACACTCATCCAGACGGTTACCATGGTGTTGTTACACCCTCCGATGATGTAGATTTTCTTGACAAAGAACTTTCTAGTCCTTCAGCAGGAACTTTCCCATCTGAAAATCTGTGTATGTATGATGAACAAGCAGAGGAAGCTCCTGAAGCAACTGAAAATGATTACGCCTCAGATGAAGCTCAGATGGAACAAGAAGTTACTGAAGAAATGGCAGAGGTTGGTGTGGATTGTTTAAAACATGAATCTAGTTTTGAAGAGACGCAAGTGCCAGGGGATGTTGATTTAACTGAGATTTTAGGTGAACCAACCTTTGATGATCTTGAAGAGATACCACATGGCACCACAAGTAATGGCCAACATACACTAGATATGTCAGAAGAAATCTCTAGTAAAATTGTCACTGTAACTGAAACATCAGTATCTGAAGTTGTAACCACTGAATCAGTTGCTGCAAAAGTGGTATTCGAGGAATCAACATCAGAAGAAATTCATGTAGAAGAATCATTTGATGACCCCCCACTATCAAAAGAGAGTCCAACTGCAGTTACATTTGATGATGAACCCTTTCTGGCAGAAGAAACTCAATCTAAAATTGTTATTGGTGATGAACCCATTGCTCCAGAAGTAGTTTCTGTAGAATCATCTTCTCATGATGCCCCTTCAACAGAAGATATCCCCCTACAAGAAACCTCTGATGAATCCAATCCATTTGCAGATGTCTCGGCTGGAGCTACTTTTGATGAACCCCAACCATCAGAGGAAGTACCTGTTGAAGCTTCTTTTGATAAACCATCTCAAGCAGAATATGTTTCTGAAGAAACTACTTTCAGCGAACCCCTTCCATCAGCAGAAGAAACTGCTTTTGACGAACCATCTCCAATAGAAGAAGTTCCTACAGAAGCTACTTTTGAAGAATCACCAACATCAGAAGATATACCAGCTGAAGCAACATTTGAAGAGTCACTACCATCAGAAGAAATCTCTGCAGAAGCTACTTTTGATGAACCACCACCATCAGAGGTTCCTGCAGAAGCTACTTTTGATGAACCACTACCATCATCAGCAGATTTCCCATCTGAAACTACTTTCGAAGAGCCTTCTCCATCTGAAGCAATCCCAAAAGAAGCTACATTTGATGAACAACCACCATCAGAAGATATACTTGCAGAAGCTACTTTTGATGAACCACCGCCACCATCAGAAGTAAGCCCTGTCATTTTTGAAGAGCCCCTACCATCAGAAGATATACCAGCTGAAGCCACC